AGCAGGATGCAGCGCACCCTTCATGCGACTCGCCGAATATCTCACGGCGCTTCGCGCTTGGTGATGTGAGAGCCTGGTCCGGTGAGAACCCGGCGTGCTCCGTCCCGGCTTTGTAGGGATGCGAGGTCAATGGTCTAACGACTACGGCATGCACGACTATGAGTACACCCCCCCCCCCTACAACTCTATGTCCCATGTTGCACCGTGTCCTCGTGGAGGCATAGAGTGTTTATAGGGTCCGGAAGCGTAGAATAGACAAGCGCTGAGGATGACTTGTGTGCCTGACGTCCCGCGGTCATGACGCGACACAGGTGACGTCGACAGCAACGGGCAGTTTGCAGGCCACCACGGTGTCCACGGCACGAGGAGCAGCAGGCGCCTCCGGGGGGGGCGGGGGCAGAGGCGGCGGCGCGGCAGGGAACGGGGGGCAACCACCAGTAGTGAGGTGAGTGTAGTAACGTTCAAAAGCCTGAAAATATCAACTTTTGTCTTCGCTCTCAGTTCGCGGACGTGACGACTCACGGAGGCCTGAGCTGTACTCCTGTGTCTTCTCTCTCTCTCTCTCTCTCTCTCTCTCTCTCTCTCTCTCTCTCTCTCTCTCTCTCTCGCGCGCGCGCGCGCGCGCTCGCGAATGTCTCGAGAGCGGATCTTGGCTTGGTTGGAGCTCCGATTAACGTGCAAACGGTCGCAATGCGTTCGAATGTCACGACGGTTCATGATACGAACGACAAGTGGACAAGAATGCACGTGATACGTTGGCAGTGGACAGTGGTCATGTTCACAGGGTTCTTTGAATTCGTTCACGGGGGTCGTTTGTGACTGAAAACCAGGTGCTTGGTAGACAGGCTTCGACCCCGAGAACGCCTCCTCAAATAAACGTAACTGTTGCCCGTTCGTTGAAGCTTTTGGGCCTAACTCTCGACAGTTTGGCACATTTATAATACTTGGCGTGCCCATACACACAAGCTGCCACAACACAAGTATCATTACTTTGGCAACAAAGAAATCGTTTTCTTTTGATTGAAAAATTATTTGTTGCGCCTGATGTGCTCAACAATGTGTGGATGGCGCCGTTGTCCTACCAGATTTTTCTGGTGCTCTCGTGCTTGATCCACCCTCATGAGTATTTTGGCACTACGCAAGAAGTACAGCCTTTCGGTCAGGCAGCAGATAAAGAACACTTGTTTGTTGCGCCAGCGACCTCAGCTGCCCTTTTTTTGTCCTTGTGGTCTTGGCGTGAACTATCGCTCTTGAACCGAACAACTACGGCCAACGTTGTTGAAAGACCGCTCCCGGATAGTAGCGCCGCCAAATGGTGCACTGTTTGTTGCACGTTGTCGGCAGCGCTGTTTTTATTGTTGCTGTTGCTGTAGTTGCTGCTGCTTCTGCTGCTGCTGCTGCTGCTGTTGTCTTCAAGACACGGCCTGGCCTCGATCAAGTACCACTCTCCCGTCGTTGTCAAAATGCACAGCACTACATGCAACGATTTCCCGTGGTCACGAGCCCAAAACGTGGTTCAACACCCAAACTGAACAAGACCGGCGATCGACGAAGAGGCAAACGCATCAACAGTAGCACGTCAAGAATTCCTCAAGCAAAGCCAAGAGAATAAAAATGACGTGGGACCCATAATGTCACATGAAAGCCAAGCCAGACGACGTATGCACACATGCCACCACCAAACTAGGGCTGAAGGAGCTTGTAATTCTCGCACCCCTGTGGGTAGTCAACAGCATGCCATACACATGGGAAGGTTTTAGATTGCCATACAGTACACGACTGGCTTTTTCCGCGCGCTCCCTACCGGCCGAACCCCCCCGTGCACAACCACAGCAACCACAGGCTCAACAACCCAAATCTTCCCTCCCACCCCACCCCCGCTCGCTCCGCGCTCTCGCAGAGAACGAGGGACTAGCGTAGATCTAACTGATGTCGAGGAGGCGCCTTCCGCCATGACCATCACTGGCAGTATGAACGAAGAAGGCCTAGGCCTCTTGTCGTGGTGGGAATGAGGGTTCACTGTTGGCTAGCGCTGTTGCTGTTGTGGCGCTAGTGAAGGTTCACCCTGACGTGGCGCCTTCGTTGTCATGGAGTGAAGCTCAACCATCATTTTTGGGCACCACGGTCGTGGTGGTGGGAGAGAGGCGGCTTCACCCTTGTTTTGCGCTATCGTTGTTTTGTGGCGCCAGTGAGGTTTTACCATCTGTTTGGGCACCACCATTGGCGTGGTGGGAGTGAGGCTTCACCCTTATTTGGCACTGTCATTGTGGTGGTAGGAGTGAAGCTTCGCCCTCATCCGAAACCGTCGTGGTAGTGGTAGGAGTGAAACTCCACCCTCTTTGCTTGTCACCATCGTTGTGGTGGCCGAGTGAAGCTTAACCTTTAGTTGGTATTGCTGTGATATTCGTGTCGAGAGTGGAGCTTGCCTTTTCTAGGCACTACGGTTGTCGCAGCTAGAGTGAAGCTGCACCCTCATTGGGGCACTATCGTTGTCGTGCAAGTGAAGTTTCGCCCATTTGACATAATGATTGTGGTGGTGGGAATGAAGCTTTGCCCTGATTTTGCGATATCGCTTCCGAGCTGGGGCCAATCATTGGTTTGGTTTCTGCTGAATGATTGTTGACCGCGTGCCATAGAGGCTTCGACGTGTGAGAATAATTTTTTTCTTTTTGTGCCAAGAGCAGAATTCTCGTGAACAAGGCGGATGCTGGTGTGTGCGAGTCTGTTCTAAATACTTTGTACCACGGTGGGGGTACGAAACATTCATGTAGTCTAGGTTGCTCAGCTTTGTTTCCTACACAAACCACCGTCCATTGACCTGATGTGGTCGACGGTGGCGACGAAAAGAATGGACAAGGACCCCGAATTCGATGTTTCCATTTGGATATTTCTCAGCTTACCGGCGGGCCCGTTCTGTTCAGCAGTGCAGCATGTTCCCGTCAAGATCGGGCGATGCATGATCCCATGCGTTACCTACACCGTGAAGGCGCTCGCTCGCCGTCGCACGCCGTAAGAGCCACTGTACGTAGTTCCACGACGACCAGCGGGTGGTTTATTGAGGTAGAATCTCGTCCGTGGGCGCGTTCATTGCACGGAGAGGTGCTCACCGCTACCGTACTTCCTGCTGCAGTTGCCGGGCATATCGTTCCCTGGGCGAATAATGAGCTTTGGAGCCAGCTTATGTAGACTACACGAGGGTGTTCGCAATGACTTGCTTTTATCGTGGGTGCAGCAGTTGTCAAGTCGAACTATCTTGTTGGCAGGATACAGCAGACGACTTTGTAGTCTATCTAGACTAATACGTCGGAGTCTCGCATGAAAGTTGTGTACACCGCGAGCTCGAGACTACATGGAAGTTGGCAGATCTTGACGTACATGTGCAACGCTGGTTGTAGCCAGTATCATCGTGGGCGTTTTCTTGTGCTGCACCTCGACTGTTTCCGAAGTACGTTGTACCTGCAGGTTTTGGTCTTGTTGACAACAAGTGCTTGACCCTCATCACCACAACTCCCGATGGATCATGACACATTGATGGCATGATTCCTGGACGGCATTGGATTGCCGGCCGAGCTGTGCGAGACGGAGACCTCGTTCTCGGGGGGACGGTAGCGGAGATTATGTGTAACCCCCCCCTAGTCATGCTGTCAGCTAGCGTGCCACCCCGAGCGTGAGCGAGGAGCGAAAGAGAACATACGAGGACGCAGGCAACGGGGGCAAAAGCCAGGGCAGCGCGGAGAACACGGAGTTTCATGTGCTGAGAAGTATCGAGAGGTTTCGCTGGGCTCTTACTGGCTTGAGAGGTAAGCTTGTCCAGGCAGCGGTCGATGTAATTTGTTGGTGTCTCAGGCAGTTTTTTGTTTGCTCCCCTTCAAACTGCCAGGTTTCCGCGAGCGTGCTGCGTACGGCCTGTTGGCATGACCAACATGCCCGGTTGAGTTTGAGGAAGCAGGAGACGGTCGAGGCCCTGCGAATAATCCTGGTGCTTCTGCGCTCCAGCTGTGTGATGATGTGCCGACAGGTTGGGGTCAGCGTTGCTGCCGGCTACTTGTAGACTGGTCTTAAGGCTGACTGATGGGGTTCGTTGCATAGACGAGCACCCAAACTTTCTGAACTCGCCGCCCCAGAAATATGTTGATTCGAACAACCGGACTGCTTCCTGAGCATGTGTTCGAAAGCACCCCCGAACAAGCAACCAGGTAGTGTCCAGGAAGTGAACTTGGCCTAGTCCCGAGTGTCCACAAGCCAGGTTGGTTGCTACACACCATTCCTGCTACCAAACATCGCCCCCGAATGATGAAAATGGACGACAGCCAGCAGTATTGTTACAACGGATGATTCTTGCCAACGATGTTTCTCGCCCGGTGCCTCGTTCCCCAATCTGGTGTGCTTGTGTAGCCCAACGATCATGTGCTTGCAACCTTTCCATGTGTTGGTAGCCCAGTAGTAGCATCCTGTCGGCGTGCCAAAGCTCTCGAGGTGTTTCTGAGGATGAACAAGTTGGGTGTGCGCGTGCGCGCATTTTCTTTGTTGCTGCACACGAAAATTGAACCAGTTCGCCGGGGCTCCCATCATCGTGCACATGTGCAGCAGGTTCGGCCAACGAAACACCGCCGCTGCTGCTGCCGTTAAAATCGGCGGTTGCTAATTGCTGTTTACTCCGAAGAGACGGCTCTCGGAAGGGCAGCGGCTACCGAACCGTCGGATCAACGGTCTAATCTAGTTCTTCTTATTTTTGCTGTGCAGATACTTCTAGCGAGGGAGATACTAAAGCTGTCGTTGGCGTGCTGTCCCAAGCGTCGGCAGTTGCTGCCGGTGTTGGCCATGGACGGTGGGGCGGGAGAGGAGGGGGCCTCTAGTCCCGCCGCTATCGCCACGACTACTGCTGTGACTGTGGATGAGGTGCGGTGTGGCGTTGGTGGTTTCGTTGCGTGGGGCTATCTGTCTGGTAGCGGTCGAGTCGCTCTTATTCTCGCAGCGGGAGGCTATGAAACACACCTCCGCTCGCTCGTTGCCTTGGGAAGACACGATGTACCTGTCGCCCCACTTATGGCATGCTGCCGTGTACCAACGTTGGGCGAATGTGCGCAGGGCGCCCTCTTTCCCAAGCGTGTAGAGCGCACCCCCAGGGCGTGTACGACGCCCTCGCCGTTCTCTTGGCTTCATAGAAACTTTACTTTATCGCACTTTTTCGCAAAGGGGCTTTGGCGGGGAAGTAGCCCCTGTTTTGGCTCAAGACCGTCTGGAGGATGGATGGTGTTTTCTGCGCTAAATGACGTTTGCTACGTCAGCAGATTGCTGCCCGTGTGTGCCGCACCCCGCCCCGTACGCCCTGCTCTACTTTCTGCGCCCGGTTTGTCGTCGCTTGCGCCTGCGATCTTTGTGCTTTATGACCAAATCGCGCACCTGTGTTTTTTTGTTTACTGAGCGCTGTAGCCTCTTCACGCCCGCCGTCGTCACTGGCTGCTCAGGCGCCATCGAGAACAACAAACGGTGTCGACAGCAGCACTGCCACAATCACCGCCGCCGCAGCCACCACGACCACGGAGCCGACGGGCAGCGGGGACGGCGACGCTGCCGCCACCGCCGCCGCCGCTAAGAGCGTAGGCCTTGGCGTCGATGGCCCATCGTCCGACGCCCTCGTGGGGGCCGCCTCAAGCGAGAAGGAGGTTAACCTCTCCGCTGGGGCAAGAGTAGCCGCCGGGGTGGAGGGAACCAAGATCAAGTCTCCGCCGCCAGTGACGCCGGTACAGACGCCGCCGGTGTCCCTTTCTGCTACCGTTGCTGCTGCTGCGGCGGCTCGGTCGGCTGCTGGTTCCGCTTCTGTGGCTCCTGCTGCTGCTGCTGTGGCGGTCGTAGAACCGAGCCCCGTAGAACCGATTCCTGCGGCTTCCGACCCGGACCCAGTCCCGACGGCTACCGATTCTCCTCCTGCAGCTGCTATTGCTGCTCCAGCTGTTGCTGCTCTGGCTGCTGTTGCTCCAGCTGCTGCTGCTCCAGCTGCTGCTGCTCCAGCTGCTGCTGTTGCTGCTCCATCTTCTGCTGCTCCAGCTGCTGCTGCTGTTGCTGCTCCTGCCCCTACCGACCCGCCTGCTGCGGCGGCTGTTGTGGCATCGGAGTCATCCAGTTCGGTCAAGCCTCCAGGCTTGAAACGGTCTACGAGCAGGTCACTCCCGCCCGCTGCCAGGGCGCCCATGTCGATAAGGGCGCAAATGAAGATGGTCATGGTCAGTGGAGGCTGTTGTGGTCGTCGGGCAGAACCGTTGTTGCATGCGTGCCCGATTGTGAGCTCTTCCGTGCAGCCGTTTCGTCACACGTTTCTGTTTTTTTTTTTTAATTGGTTTGTGCTTCCATGTACAGCTTAGCCGACAGGCAGAGCTTACCTAAACTATTAGGCGATTGGAGAGTGATTATAATCATGGGCGTACATGATAGGTAGTCGTTTGGCCTTACCAAATGGCAGGGGCGAACTACAATGGCGTACAGTATATGGGGATTTTTCCGTTGGGTTTGCTGTGGGAACGCTTCGAATCTACGATGCCTTGCTCTCATTTTCGCCCCATTGGTGTTGGCGTCCGTTACTGGCATATTTTTCTCTACCGCACGGCCAGGCTGCGGAAAAGGAGGAGAAAAAGAAGCTCGAGGCCGAAATCAACGATGCGAAAGCCAAAACAGCGCGGGATGCGGCGGCGGAAAAAGCGGCGGCGGAAAAAGCGGCGGAAAAGGCGGCGGCAGCAGCCGTCGAGAAAGAAGCGACTGAAGCCGAGACCGTGGCCAAGGGCAGCGGCAAGGCCGGGAAGCCAAGGGGCGGGGGAAGCGGCGGCGCCAGGGGCAAGGGGTCGCGGAGTGTAGGTGCCAAGGCTGTTGGGGGGGTGGGCAAGGGAGCCAAACGCGCAGCAGCAGCAGCAGCAGCAGTGGAGACGGACGCGGAGGGGGAAGAAGAGGGCAGTTCCAACAACACCAAATTTACCGGCAAGACCGATAAGGGCAGGGTGACGCCGAAAAAGTCCCCGCCGAAACCGTCGCCCAAGACTAAGACGAAGCTGGCGCAGGAGAAGAAGGCTGCAGCAGCGGCAGCAGTGGCAGCAGCGGAAGCGGCGGCTGCGGCAGCGGCGGCGGCCAAGGTGGAAGCGGGTGGGGACGAGAACGGCGGCGGCGCGTCGAAAGGCAAGGCTGGAAAGAAACCAGCCAGGACCAAAGGCACTGGAGCTAAGACTGGCCAGGCTCCGGCGACAGCAGCGAAAAGCAAGAGCGCCGCCGCGGGGGGGTCCAAGGCCACCGGCGGCGGGAGAGGTCGGGGGTGCGCTACAACCCAAAAAGTGGCAGCAGCGGCAGCAGCAACAGCAGCAGCAGCAGCAGAGTCAGAAGCGGAGAAGCGAGGCAGCAAGAGGGGAGCAAGCAAGAGCAAGAGCTCCCGCAAGCGAGGAGGAGCTGCCGCTGCGGAGAGCTCGAACGACGCTCAGGACGAAGGTGTTCCAGGAGAAGGAGGAGGAGCACCGGTCGACGAGCCGGAGGCTGATGTCGATGGTGCAGGAAGCAATGACGAAGAACGGGATGATGGCTACTCTGAAAAACCACCGAGCAGCGCGTCGGTAAACACAAAGAGCAACCGAAGATCGACCAAGAAATGGAAAGTCTTGCCGAGCTCATCAGCAGCAGCCAAGGCCAAACCAGCGGCCACCGTTGCCCCGAAAGCGGGTGCTGCCGCGGCTCCGGGGAGAGGGAAGAAGGCTAAGCAGCAGGCGGTGGCGCGGGCTGGTCCGCGAAGCGGTGGTGCTAAGAAGAGAAAGGCGGCAGCGGCGGTAGAGGAGGAGAAGGAGGAAGACGAGGAGGTGGAGGACGAAAACACCAAGCCCGTCGCGGCTGCTAGCCGGAAGGGTCGAGGAAAGGGCGCCGGCGGCGCCAAGGCATCCGAGGATGGGGGTGGCTCGAAGGCGGCTGCTGGTTCTGGGGACGACGGGGAGGGGGCGGCCGACCACCCGCCCGCCCCCGTCAAGGGCGGCAACGCCAAGAAGAACAAGAAGCAGAAAAAGGAAGCGGAGGAGGTCGGGGTCGACGGGGTGGATGAACAGGAAGAGAAGGACACGGAGGGCGCGACCACGAAGCCCATCGCCGCTGCTATGCATAGCCGGAAGGGTCGAAGAAAGGGTGCCGGCGGCGCCAAGGCATCCGAGGATGGGGGTGGCTCGGGACCTGCCGCTGGTTCTGAGGATGACGGGGAGGGGGCGGCCGACCACGCGCCCGCCCTCTTCAAGCGTGGCAGCACCAAGGAGAAGAAAAAGGCGCAGAAGAAGGAAGCGGAGGAGGTTAGGGTCGACGGCGGGGATAAACAGGAAGAGAAGGACACGGAGGACGTGATCACGAGGCCCGTCGCTACTGCTAGCCGGACGGGTCGAGGAAAGGGCGGTGGCGGTGGAGCTAAGGTAGCCGAGGGGAACGGTGGCTCGAAACCGGCTGCTGGTTCTGGGGACGATGGGGAGGGGGCGGCCGACCCTGCACCCGCTCCCGTGAAGGGCGGCAACGCCAAGAAGAAGAAGAAGAAGAAGCAAGAGGAGGAGGAGGAGGAGGAGGAGGAGAAAGCCTGGGTAGAAGACAAAGTTGGGAGGAAAACCGAAGGCCGTGGGGGCAAGCGCCGCAAGCGAGCCAAGGAGGACGCAGCAGCCGTGTCGGAGATGGAACGCGGTCGCGGGAGCGGGAGCGGGGAGGAAGAGGCAGAGTGGGAGGATGGTTGCGTGGAGGACAAAGAGGAGGAGAAGAGAGATAAAAAAGGGAGCGAGCGCGAGGGGGAGGCTGGGGGGTCAGCTAGGAAGGCCCGGGAAAAGGGGAAAAGAAGAAAGGTGAGAGGTTTTCGGCTGCTTGGTGAAAATTAAGAGGGAGGCTGGGTGGGCTTGTGGAGGTGGCAGACGGCTCTGGGGCAACGAAGCGCCGATAGAGAGAAAATGTCTATTGGGGGGTCTTGCCTCTTGCAAGCCTGAGCGAGGCTGTGAAGACAAGCAAGAACCACACGCGAGAGGTTTAATTAATGACATGAATCACTCGTGGACTTCCTTCTTTTCGGCACTCGCGGCCGATCGAGTTGAAAGTTAGCGTTACCTTGCACCTAGGAATACTTTGCGCCAATTTTCGAACGGCCCACATTAAGGGGATTTTGAATTGGCCTGTGTCGACGCGAAGTGGGGTATGTCCGAAAAGTCAACCGATGCCCGTGCAAGCTTGTTTGCCTTTCTCGTACGACCTCATCCGACACCTTTTTCATTTTCGTCGAATATTACTTTCTACATCTGACCGACCCGGCAGGGGCGAAGCCTAAGCCGCCAGCGAGGTACCGGAAAGGGCAAGGAAAGACGGGTCGTAGAGGAGGAGGAGGAAGACGACACCGAGCCAAGCGGTCCTCACGCCGACGGTAACGGCGCGGACGGTTCTCCTGGAGAGCGGTCCCGCAGCCCATCGATCAGCCTTAAGACGTCAGCTGGAGGTCGGCGGGCGGTCCGGGGAGCAGGAGACGACGACAGCGGTGACGGCTCCGATGGAGGGGAGCGGGGGCGGCGGCGGCGGCGGGGGCGAACGCCTCCTGCCGCTGATTCCAATTTCGGGGCGAAAAAGAAGAAGAAAAAGAGGAACGGGAAGGACCGACGAGGTGACAAAGATAGCGGCGAAGGTACGGGGGAGGCGGACGATGCCGCCGAGGCACAATCGTCGTCTTTTTCGCCGGCCGCGGCGGCGGTGGAAAAGGGCGAGCGGCGGCGGCGGGCGGCGGCGGTGGCGATGGAGAGGGACGCTGACAGCCTCGGTGGCTCTGGGCAGAGGTCGCCCACCGCCGCCGGTACTTCGAGCAAGAAGAAGCAGAAGAAGAGCGGGAAGCGAAAGGCGGACGAGGCTATCGGTGACGCCGGGGATGCGAGAGACGAAAAGACGGCCACCGCTCGAAGGGTGTGGAGGGCCGCGGTCCGTTTCCGAGAGATTTTATCGCTGCCAGTACTGTCCCGGGTGTTTTTTTGTGCTCCAAGACATGTCCGACCGAGCCACCTGTTTGTTTCGTTCCCGTGCGTAGCCCGTGCTTGAAGGGATGCTTCGTTTTGGACGCCACTTTCTGATCGCCTACGCGAGCGTCGATAGCCATTCCTTCCTGACACCACATTACTTGCGGAGTGAATGTTCACTTGATCGTGCGCACACGCGCTCTCTTCGTCACACGTTTTGCTTTCATAGGTATCGAAAGGAGGCTCTCAGGGCAAGAAGCGGAGGAAGGTCGTCAAGGAAGGAGACCGGAGGAGTCGTAGCCGCAGCCGTAGCCGCAGCTGGAGCCGGAGCCGCAGTCACAGCCGCAGCCTCAGCCTCAGCCTCAGCCGCAGCCGTAGCCTCAGCCGCAGCCGCAGTCACCCGCGTGATAGCCGCGGCGGCCGCGGGCGTGACCACAGCCACAGCCGGAGCGAGAGCGCAAGCGAGTGGAGCGGAAGCGAGTGGAACGCTACCGCCGCCGCCGTTGTTTCGAAGAGTAGGGGCGGCGGCGGCGGCGGCGACGACGACCATCATCGCGCCAGACGGCGAAGAAGGCGCGGGTCCTCGTCGTCCGCCCGGCCACGGCGGCAGGACAGTAGGCGGAGCAGCTCGAGCGACGACGACGGCGGCGGGAGACGCAGACGTAGACGAAGCAGATCCCGGAGCTGGAGCAGGAGCACGAGCAGGAGCCGCAGTTGGAGAGGCGGCGGCGGCGGCAATGGTCGCGGCAGGCGCCGGGGTGAGCGGCTCGGCGGCGCCGGCGCCGGGGGGGGCGTCAAACGCCTCGCGAAGAGCAGCAACCGCGGCGGGGGGTCGGGAGGCCGTGGCGGCAGGGCGGCGGGTGCGGACGGCACCCGCCCCGGGCGTAGACGGCGGCGGGATGATGTCGAGCGGGAAAGGAGTGCGTCGTTATCGTCGTCCTCGGAGGAGGAGGACGGCGGTGAGCGGCGTGGCCGTGATCGGAGTAGTCGCGACGGGGACAGCAGGAAGCTCGGCGGCGGGAAGGGCGAAACGAGCAGGGGTACGGGAGGGGTTGACTCCAAGGGGATGATACCGAAGAAGAAGTTGGGCGATGTGGGTGGCAGCAGCGGCGGTGGCGGCAGCAGCTTGCGCAACGATCCCTCGATGATACCGCGGAAAAAGACGGCTCCGAGCAGCCAGAGCCAGAGCAGCAGCAACGGGCCTCGCGATGACCGCAAGGCGGGGGGGGGGAGGAGGAGGAAAGGCCGAGGGGGGGGGGGTGGCGGTGGGAGCAGCAGCAGCAGGAGCAGCAGTCGCAGCAGCAGTTGCAGCAGTTGGAGCAGCAGCTGGAGCAGGAGCAGGAGCAGGAGCAGGAGCAGCAGCAGGAGCGACGACAGCCGCCCCCGCAAGAGCGGAACCGTCGGCGGCAGCAGCAGGAAGAGGTCGGGCTCGAGACGGAGAAGCCCGTCCTACCGTCGAAGACGGCACCGGGATTACAGCAGCAGCGACAGCGACACCGGAGGCCATGGTCGCAGAAGAAGAGACTCCCGCCGTGTGGGCGGCGGCGGCGGCGGCGGGGCTTCGCCCCGCTCCCCGCGAAGCGACGACGACGATGGCCGAGGCCGAAGAAATCGACGGAGCCGCTTCCGGAGTCGGAGCCGCGACCGTAACTCCGCCCGGCGGGTCGTGGCCCGCGGAGGTTCGGGTAGCGGGGATGGTAGGAGTGAGAAGCAGCACCAGCAGCACCAGCAGCTCGCCCGGCGAGTGCTGGAAGAGAGGAGAAGGGCTGGTGGGACAGAGTCGGAAGGAATCGTGGCGACGCCGAAGGTAGTGTCGCAAGCGGCGGCGGCGGCCAGGAGTGCGCTGGAGGCTAGAGCGGCGGAGGCGGCCGCGGTGGCGGAGGCGGAGGCGGAGGCGGAGCGGAAGAGGTGGGTCGTTGTGTGTCTCCAGATGCGGGTAGTGTGGTTTTCACGAAAGACTTCAACAGACTTTCCCGATAGGTGTGAAAGCGGGAGCAGGTAATGAGCCATGTGTCCCTGGACGGGCGGCAGGCGGACTACGGGGCTGCTACAGAAGGCCCAATTTGCTGGTGTTGTCATGTTGAGACTTGGCCGGCTCTCCGGACATGGCGGTCTTGCGTGCATAGGGAGTTGGTGTCCTCTCTATTATAGTAGGCACATCCATCGTTCTCCCCAGCTTATCCCCTCCCTCATACTGCTGTACCGTGTGTTCACATGGTCTCTTCGCCGTCACAAGCCCCCCGTTCAAACTATCCATCTCCGGGAGAAGTGGCCGTTTCCCCGCGCGATTCTGCGAGACTCATTAGTGCCCGATTTGAGAAACTTGGGAGGCTGACACCCTTCCCTCGATTGCGGTAGTGGTGGAGGTGTTTGTCCAGGTGGTGTAATTTTTGAGGAGATGATGTGTAACAATTCCACTCTGATCTTGCGGTGCCCTTGCCTTGCCTGTAAACCTGTCGCTTCGCCGCTTCTGATTGGTTCTCTGGTTCGGCCGCAATGGGTGGGTTGGCCTCTCTAGGCAAGACGACCTCGAGAACAGGCTGAAGAAGAAGATCCGGGAGAGCTCCGCCCTAGAGAAGGCCAGAGCCGACCACGCCAGTATCACCGATTCAGACCCGATCGACAAGGTGTGTAAACAACGAGCCTTTCTCGTCTTCTTTTTTTCTTCTCTCCAATGTGGTGCAAAGTCTACCGAGGTTCTGCTTCTTGTGTGATGTCGTAGTGCAGGCTCTCGTTTCGGCTCATTACAGTCGTAGAGTTTTCGGTCTTGTACGGCGACCGAGGGTGCTCACAATGAAAATATCAAGCCTAGATTTGGTGATGGAAGGGTGGGATCAATGGTACCGGCGGGGCTCTTCATGTCCGTACACGGAATGTAGCTTCGAGATCTCTAAGAAAAAAACGCGGCGCAGGAAGCCCAAGGCACCCGCTGGGCACGGTACCGGACCTCTTGCGTGATCCATCTCGCCGTGAAGGACTCGTTTTTTGTGTTTTGCGCACTCGTTCACCACGGAGTATTCCTTGTGTTTTCGCATCCATGCGGCGGAACAAGCGCCAGCAAAGGAACGCCTCTTACGGATTTTTCATCGAAAACGCTGTACGCTGCCTACGACTTCAATTGATTACGTTGGCGTGCAGAACGACACATTAGTACAAGGTGCATCGAAAGCTTTTTTTCCAAAAAGCAACACAGCCAATACTGGGTGATTGTGCCCTATGGGTGTGCCTCCTTCCATTTTTTTCTCTCCGTCGTTTGGCCAATGGTAATCGCTTACGTCGCTGGTGCAGATGGGCACGATGCTGGACTCCAAGAGGAATCGTTTGGACGATTTCGCCGTCAAAGACTCTGAAGGAAGAGTCATACGGGAGCCGAACGTTCCGATGCTCATCGAGGAGCTCAAGGTTAGCTACCCTTGTTGCGCTGCGCTTGGTGTCGTGCTCCGTGCCCGTTTCTCACCCCGCACGCGTCTTGTGAATGAGGTTCAACCGGAGTTGGGTTGGCGCTTAAGCTTCCGTGAGCGCCCACCCGCACATGTACTGCTTGGTCGGTAGTTTTACAGCCAACCCCGTCCCGAGGAGCACGGGGAGGACATACAGTATGAAGTGTTTTATTGGGCTCTTGCTTTTTCCGACTTGGTGTTGGGGCAGGCATCCCTGTAGCTTACACTTGTTTGCGTAGCTGTAGAGTAGTGGGTGCACCGTGCGAACCATCGAGCTTACCTCACGTACTGTACGCGGAATGCCCGTCCCGCAGTCTGTTGATTTTGCATGCTTAAGAGGTTGCTGTTGTTTTATCTCTCCAGACGTGCGCAAAAACTCTCCAATACAGGTCGCACGCGTTGCGGCGACGGTTCCCCCGCCGCATGGAGTAAGCTCCCAACATGATAACTCTCCCCTTGCCCCCCACATGTTTGCGGTGCCGTCCTGCTTGAAGGGAGAGGAGAAGCCCATGTCGTGGTGGGGCGTGATGACCTGCCCGGACTTGCCCCCGCCGCCGGGATCGCTACCCCCGCCACCGCCCCCACCCCCCCCGTTGGTGTCGATGTCGCCACGGCACCCCCCGCCCCCGCCCCCGCAGCCGCAGCCGCAGCCCTAGCCGCAGCCGCAGCCGCAGCAGGTGCACCACCACCACAGCGCTCCTGCCCTTCACCACCACCACCACCAACAACCGGTGCACGTCAGTACCAGCGCGGTCGCCTGGTCTACCAGCTCGTGGCAGCCAGGAGGGCCGGACGTGGCTGCCGCAAACGGTGTCGGTGTCGGTGTCGGTGTCGGTGTCGGTGGTGGCAGTGGTGGTGTGGCGTATGGCGGCGGCGGCGGCAGCAGCGCCAGCAGTTGTCAAGCCGTGCCGGTCAACAAGTACGCCTTCGACCCTTACGGCAACCGAAATCAGCAGCAGGGGCAGCAGCAGCAACAGCAACAGCCGCCGCTGCCGCCGCACCCACACCAGCAGCAGTACGGCGGCCAGCAGCAGCAATACCACCATCATCAGATGCAGCACCCCCCGCATCCCCACGGCTTGTTGATGGCGGTGGGGCCGCCGCCACCGCTTGGTCCCCCGCCCCTCCCGCCTCCGATAATGCCTCCTCAGGGACCCCCGCCGCCGCAGGCGGGGGCCGGTCCATTCGGGGGCGGGTATGGAGGCGGCGGTCCCGGGGGACGAGGGGCTTCAAATCCCCCCCTGGGGGCATGACGGGTGACGGGTGCTGCCTGTTGTAGATGTTGGCTACAGCAGTGTAGTGTGGCCGACATCTCCTGACGATATTTTTTGTGTCCGCGCCGTCTAGTCGGTAAACGCAAGGTGCAGCACAGATCATGATGTGGCGAGAGTTGGTGCTTCTTCAACCAGAGGGCGGCGGCTTGCATCTGTTGGTGATGGGGACAACAAGCCTGCGGTGGTAGCAGAAGCGTTCTTTTGTCTTGCGTGCTGAGACGGTGTGCGTGGGCGGGGTCTCGACGCTGCGTAGAGTGCGAGGCTTTGCGCGAGTACAGCTGTCGGTCGGTGGGTGTGTTGTGTGTTGTTCACTCGAAAGGCGGCTCTTTGGTGAGGTGCCTTGGCTCCCGGGGAGTGACTAACCAACCCACACACACAAGGGTTTGTCGATCTCCCAAATGGTGTGGTGGGGGGTAGGCGGCGGTTCCCAACTCCTCCGCGCGGCAGGGTCGTGCCTTACGAAGTGCTGTTGTCACGATCCTCGTCTGCGTCCGCTTTACGTCGGCTTCTGCCAAGCTTATAGTGCTATGGACTAGCCGTCCGGTATTTATTCATATCGTAGCAAGGATCCCTCGGACGGAAGTAGGTAGGCGGCACTGATGGTGACCGCCGCGAAGATGTTTGTTGACCAGCCAAAACGAGACGAGTGTTTGCTTGTAGCATAGATCCTTGTCCTGTTTTTTCTTTTTTCAACTTTTTTTGTTTCTTGTTCATGTTGTTCGTGCCCGAAAGCTGTTGACGGTTGTGTGTCCGGGGGGTCCGCGTGGGGGGCGGTGGAGGGCAAAGAATGAAGTAGCCTTGCCGGCATCCGCCGTGGAAGACACGTTTGGTCGGCCGTACGATAGAAAGTACCCTTGATTTACTTCCCCTCATATGCGTGCGGGTAGAAACGGAAATGGCGTCCTCTTCGTGGGTGTCGTCGCCGAAGGCCATCCCGACAGCTGCTTTACCGCGGCAAGAGTGTAGCGCAATTACTTGTGATGTGTTTTTTGAAAATCGGTTTTGTCCCCGCTTGTGCATACATACCACCACACTTTTTTTGAGGTGTTTCGCGCTTGGTTGTCGTGAAAACGTAGATTTTTATTTGGTGCCAAGCCCATCGCCGCTCGTTTAGGGAGCGGAAAGCTTGAGTGATTTCTGTCCGCCCGCGAAACGAGGAGGAAGGTTGTTGAACGTCAATAAATATGGTCCGGAACCGCTCCAGTGAATGGTACTGGGTTCTACTGTGAGTGCGCTCCCATGTTCTTTGTGGGGGGGGTGGGGGAGCTTGGGTGAAGCAATACGCTGCACATGTGCAAGAACAAGGATCCCCCTCACCTATCATAGCTTGTCAGAAAAGCCTTTTCCAATGCACAGAAAGCAGGCACCTGTGGTGTGCACACATCCAGAACGTTCGGATGATTGATACCCCAGGTCGAACGAGATCCCCACTCCCACGGACCTATCTGTGCATGCGCCACTGCTGCTGGTCAAAACTTCAAAATCCTAAGCAAACATCTTTCTCACAACGTTTGGCGATATCTCCTCCTCCAGGCTGAGTGAAACGAAAAAAAAAAAAATGAACTCAAAAGAAGAAAACAATCAACAAAACTAGGCACAACGTTGTTACCCCCTCCCCGCAAAAAAACACAGCAGGAGGCCTCCGCCGGAGCGCAAGGGGTAGCACAACATCGGATGACCTGTCACGGAGGCGACCCTACGTTCAGTCATGCTCGTGTACCTAGGTTGGAGCAGGTGTGCAGACTAAACAAGACATGGCGACGAGAGAACACTAGATCCCGTCCAAGCATTGGGAGCTGCGGCATAACTGTACACGCTCGCGACTGACCGTTGTCTACACTCGCTCGCACACACGCATCGAATAAAGAAACCACATCATCAACTTCCAGCTAGTTTGGCAAACCATCAATGCGAGGCACGCGCCAACTCTCTCAGACCGACATATCGAAAGTCAAAAGCGTAGCTTTCCTATTCAATACTCATCCATCCAACAAAAGTACATTAAACCAACCCACCCTATTCCTATGTTGGAGTTCCTCATTGGTGGGGATCTCAGCGGCTTCCCAGCGGAAAAAAATGACACCAACAAGGACGACGACGACCCCGTCACCAATAGCAACCACGCCAACAGCAATACCGAAGAGGGAAAAACTATAGACACGTGTACCCTCCGTCGACGCAGATCGTCTGCCCCAGGCACATGGTGCAAGCGTCGCTCGACAGGAACACCACCATGTTCGCAATCTCCCAAGGCTCCACGAAGCGGCCGATCGGTGTCCTCTCCAGCATGGGCCGCGACTTGGCCGGGTCGCCCCACGTCTTGATCCCCATGTCGGACCACGCTACAGTGGGTGCGATATTGTTCACCTGATGCATTCGGCGGAGCCCCCGCCCCCGCGCCCGAGTCAAGAGTCAGCAAGCACACAAGTTGGGGTCGGCTACCGTAGGTTGCTAAAGATATCACATCCCCTGGACCGATTTTCAAAGCTCAACTACTCGGCAAGAAAAACAGCGACGGTGCCTAAAATGGCGGAGCTGAAACCGTCTTGTCGAGAGCTTTCCAAGAACGCATTCTCTTGGTCGTGGAGGAACCGAGCTTTGACAATCGGTCCGGGGAGTGTGGTAGCTCATGTCGTGTCACCCACGGTACTGTTGTTGTTCTGCTCATCGCCCGAACCACCAACGAGCGAAAGCGAGCTACAATCCCACTCCCCTCGCATTCGATCCAAACGACCTCATAATTATTTGTATTGTGTAGATTGAGGCTTGCTAGCTGCACGCAACGCAGCCGCAGCAGAAGCGCTAGCGGCGGGGTCGTTTCCGCGGGTACGTGCTGTGAGGGCGGCAGCAACGCCACAGGATAAAACATCGTGTACATTCGTGTACCTCTTGCTTGTTTTTTTCGTGGCGTCTACCCGGTTGGGGTAGTTGGAAAAGGCGTCCGCGTACAGTTGGACCGATATCCGGGTGTTTGCAGGTACTGAGCACATGCCGGAACGGTTCGTTGATGCAAATACATCCTCATCATCACCACCAACAACAACAGCAACAGCAACAGCAACAGCAACAAGGCGACGACCACCACCGAGTAGGCGTGATTCTGCGACCCCCCGCCCTCCCCCACACGTGCCCACCATAACACAAAGGAGAGAATCCAGCGAAGGGCACCGAAGCAACCGAACGACGTTCCGTTCGGGGAACGGAGGGCCATGCAAGTGCACTACGCAAAAGTGTACACGAACATGCTGGATAGACGAATTAACCAAAGCAGTGTTGCGGACGTTCGCTGAACGCACAGGACAGGACCATAATTGCGCACGCACCTGGATGTTATGCTGAGCCAGATCGCACACCAATCCATGCAAGAGGCCGTCCATTGCAGCCTTGGACGCGCAGTCTGCGGAGAACATAGCCCCGACAAAAATGACACGTTTCCGGAGGACAACACACAACAAAAATTATGGCTCGTGGCGAAAACGACAACGGTGTTTGCGAAAATCGCTGTCACCTGGGACCGAAGAAGGTCATAAAACAAACCCATATCCCCTTTTTCGTGCCGATAAGCCATTTGCCGTACCCCAGACATGTGCTATATCATCATCCCATAACTCACAGTTTCATGCGAGTTTAGGGTAAATACGTTCACGGATGTTAATTCGCCAGTCGAACTTCAATGTACTGTCAAACCCACCCGTATCTAGTGAGTGGCCAATCCTGATGCGTTGCCGCTACACACGTCAATCATGGCGATAATGAACCTGTGGGGACGGCTGGCCAAAGCCGCACGCCGTGCGTCCCATTTCCCCTCTCGACCCCGACATGGGGTCTCGAATCACCCCATCCGTACCCTCGCCTCTCCTACCGACGCCACCCTAAGGTAAGAGGCTCATCGCTACACACCACAGGGCGGGGGAAGAAGAGCAGTGCGAGCTACAGTCCCCACTCACAGGACGCGTGCGCCTTCGTTGCGATGACAGCGCTTTGCGAAGTGATGTTCACGATCTTCCCGTACTTCTTCTTGATCATGCCTTGGAGGCACACCTGCCTCAGGGTCAGTGTTGTGGGGGGTCACAGAGGCTCAGAGAGAGCGGGCGAGAAGGAGAAAACAAAAATTCAAACACGCTAATCCACAAGAAGCACAAAGCATATGGCACCTTATTCCCCCCCCCCCCTTTTTTGCGCCATTCANACAGAGGCTCAGAGAGAGCGGGCGAGAAGGAGAAAACAAAAATTCAAACACGCTAATCCACAAGAAGCACAAAGCATATGGCCCCTTATTCCCCCCCCCCCCTTTTGTGCGCCATTCAGCTGGAACAAACCGTCGTACGCGTAATGTTTGGGGCAACATTTTTCTGGAACCGAAAAAGCTTGCCCCAACTGCTGTGGAACTCGCGCCCTTCTGTCAACTTGTGTTTCGTGTTCGGCTGTGGGCAACGACCGTTAGGTTGCGAGCTATGCTCTGGCACCACAGTCTGGGGATACAGCAAGGGGTGCGACGATGAAACAAGCAAGAACGAAATGATTATATTATCGCACGGGAGTAATCGCAGTGTGTGCGATAATTCCACCAACTCGCTTCCAATGCGTGGCCCTTGCGTGTAGTACCAAGGGTTCCCGGGACGCTTCCTGAGCCGGAACGTTCTTGCCGCAAAGCTTCGGATACCGCGGTGTATATTGTGCGGGGTGCGGTGCACTATGTACACGTTCTGCAGAGTGCCGGTGCCTCCCTCGCAATGAGTAAGGAAAAAACGACCTTCGATATGCACGCGGGATATATATGACGATATGTACAACCATCCCGCCGATACAAAGCAGTCCGGTATTTCACCACATCCCGTATTCACTCCGGAAAACGAAAAACGGAATGAAAAAAGAACCAAAGGCAGACCAGGGGGGCCATTATTTTTTCCTGGACTCTCCCTTTTCTAAGCACAAAAATTAGTTTGTGCTGTTCCTGCAAGACAAAAAAAAAAAAGACCAACCAGAAAATGCAGAAGAAGCCAAAACGCGCGTGCGGCGGGATCTTGCACATTTGCCGCCATACTGTATGACAAGAGGGGGTTAAGACTTCTTCGTTTTGCGTGTCATGTTTGTGACAGGGTTACTGCTGTACACCTGACCCACGCGCAAGTGGCAGTGGCCTCCTCTCGCTGTGAGAAGCGCGGTCGTACCTGGGAGACCAACAGCGGAGCGCGCGTGTTGATGGCGATGACCTCGTCGAACGTGTCCGACGAGATGTCCATGAAGTCTTCCAGCACGCAGATGCCGGCGTTGTTCACCAGGATGTCCAGGCTGCCGCCCGCCCAATCCACGGCCTTCATGCAAAATCAGTGGTAGAGAGCAAAGAGACAGAGGAATGTCGAACGCCGAAAACAGGCCAAAACGGGGTGCACACAAGTCAAGACAAGCACTCGCATCTCGGTAAAATGAAAACAAAAAACACACAGGGCCCATGTGGCCTGAAATGAAACTGGCAGTCGGGACGTATGTGTGGGGCGACCGGCCAAAAGAAAACGCGAGTGAGGATCTTTACCCTCGGCGTCGCTGATGGCGGCTAAACAGCGCACAGAGGTTGTGCAGGTGCAGCAGTTTCGGCCGAAAGAGAAAAGAATATTGGCCCCGGACCTTGTACATTTATCGAAGAGTGAAAGGCATGAGGGATGAGGCAAGACGGGTCCCGGGCGTCATGTTCCATCATACCGATATGACCATCCACGTAACCCCCCAGAGGCTCCTTACATCAAGACTCTGCTGAGCACCCGGTGTCCGGGACTCAGTGGCTAGGAGAGAAAGGTGTAGGCGTAGCAGAGTCTTTAGCAGATCTCGCTTCTCTCAAGAAAGCGGTATTGTTGGTGAAGGCAGAGTCCAAAAACGATCAACGCCGCACAATGTGATGATGTTTGACATACACAGAAGGCCTGTGATCTAGGCTGACGTGCATAAAAGCGCTTTGCACAAGGCCTGTTGTAATCAAGAGCTTCCGCGGTTGCTTCCGACAGGTATCGTAGTTGAAACCGTTACCACTTACAGGTGGAACCATGCCATCCTCGTGCAAAAGTGCACTGATATGTCTACCTACCCTCCCGGAATCACACCCACCTTTTGCGCGCCGGCGATGGCTTCGGAAGGCACCCTCAAGTCTGCCCGTACCCAATGTACATTACCGGTGCCCTCGGTATCATCGAACCCGTGCCTCTCCA